ATCGCAAGATATATGTGGTGCACCATTTACATGAAATCGAAGGAACTATATATGGGACCTATATCTAAATCTGTACCGATTTTCACGAAACATGGCAGACATCATTCTAGACTCAATTCAGTACGTTATGCCAAATTTCGTGCAAATCGAAAGATATATAGGGACTTTGGGGCACCATTTACATGAAATCGGACGAACCTATATATGGGAGCTATATCTAAATCTGGACCGATTTTCACGAAACTTGGCAGACATCATTCTAGGCTCAATTCTGTACGCTATGCCAAATTTCGTGCAAATCGAAAGTTATATAGGGACTTTGGGGCACTATTTACATGAAATCGGACGAAACTATATATGGGAGCTATATCTCAATCTGGACCGATTTTCTCGAAACTTGGCAGACATCATTCTAGGCTCAATTCTGTACGCTATGCCAAATTTCGTGCAAATCGAAAGATATATAGGGACTTTGGGGCACTATTTACATGAAATCGGACGAAACTATATATGGGAGATATATCTAAATCTGGACCGATTTTCTCGAAACTTGGCAGACATCATTCTAGGCTCAATTCTGTACGCTATGCCAAATTTCGTGCAAATCGAAGGATATATAGGGACTAAGGTGCACCATTTACATGAAATCGGACGAAACTATATATGGGAGCTATATCTAAATCTGGACCGATTTTCTCGAAAGTTGGCAGACATCATTCTAGGCTCAATTCTGTACGCTATGCCAAATTTCGTGCAAATCGAAAGATATATAGGGACTTTGGGGCACTATTTACATGAAATCGGACGAAACTATATATGGGAGCTATATCTCAATCTGGACCGATTTTCTCGAAACTTGGCAGACATCATTCTAGGCTCAATTCTGTACGCTATGCCAAATTTCGTGCAAATCGAAAGATATATAGGGACTTTGGGGCACTATTTACATGAAATCGGACGAAACTATATATGGGAGCTATATCTCAATCTGGACCGATTTTCTCGAAACTTGGCAGACATCATTCTAGGCTCAATTCTGTACGCTATGCCAAATTTCGTGCAAATCGAAAGATATATAGGGACTTTGGGGCACTATTTACATGAAATCGGACGAAACTATATATGGGAGATATATCTAAATCTGGACCGATTTTCTCGAAACTTGGCAGACATCATTCTAGGCTCAATTCTGTACGCTATGCCAAATTTCGTGCAAATCGAAGGATATATAGGGACTTAGGTGCACCATTTACATGAAATCGGACGAAACTATATATGGGAGCTATATCTAAATCTGGACCGATCTTCTCGAAAGTTGGCAGACATAATTCTAGGCTCAATTCGGTACGCTATGCCAAATTTCGTGCAAATCGAAAGATATATAGGGACTTTGGGGCACTATTTTCATGAAATCGGACGAAACTATATATGGGAGCTATATCTCAATCTGGACCGATTTTCTCGAAAGTTGGCAGACATCACTCTAGGCTTAATTCAGTACGTTGTGCCAAATTTCGTGCAAATCAATATATATATAGGGACTTTGGGGCACCATTTACATGAAATCGGACGAAACTATATATGGGAGCTATATCTAAATCTGGACCGATTTTCACGAAACTCGGCAGACATCGTTTTAGGCCTAAATGATTAGCCTGTACCAAATTTCGTGCAAATCGAAGGATATATAGGGACTTAGGTGCACCATTTACATGAAATCGGACGAAACTATATATGGGAGCTATATCTAAATCTGAACCGATTTTTCCCAATTTCAATAGGGTTCGTCCTTGGGCCGAATAAGTGACCTATGCCAAATTTCATCCAATTCGGATCATAAATGCGACCTGTACTTTGTTTACAATTTAACATGGACAGACAGACAGACGGACGGACGGACATGCATAAATCGACTTAGAAAGTGATTCTATGCATATTCTCAAAAGGAACCATGGGTCTATCTCGATTATTTTTGCCTGTTACAAACATATGCACAAAGACATAATACCCTGTACCACAGTGTGGTGAAGGGTATAAACACTCAAGTCGATTTGTCTGTCTGGTCTATAAAATGTTATAATATCCTTTTACCTGTAGCTGCAGTTGTAGTTAGAGCTTTAGACAGAGCTGTTGTTGGAGCTTTTGCTGGAGCTGTTGTTGGAGCTTTAGTTGGAGCCGGTTTGTTAGCACCTGCACAATGATCCACGGTCCATAGGAATATTATTATCACCAAAGACCAAATATATTTCATTTTAAGCAATATCGAACAAATAAAAATATTTTTTTATATCTGAATTCCTTACTTCAAAAAAAAAACAAAACAAATGACAAAATCCCAACGAATATAATGGGAATTTGTGTAGAATGTGTTTGAAAAATACAATTGGAATTTTTATACCCTTCACCACACTGTGGTACAATATGCATACAATAACTTTCTGAAACGATTTATGCATGTCCGTTTGTCCGTCACTCCATGTATTTTTGTGGACAAAGTACAGGTCGCATTGATGATCCGATTTGAATGAAATTTTGCACATGCTACTAATTTGGCCGAACTTTGGATACCCTCCACCAAAGGTATTCTGACAGTTACTTGAAATGCAACCAAAAATGGATGGGATCTTTCTATCGCCTAAAAGAGGCACATTAATTTTCTATCGCCTAATAAGGCATTTAAAGGCTTCTATCGCATAAAAATTGCATTTTAAGGCCTTTAAAGGCTTCTATCGCCTAAAAAGGCATTTTAGTTTTCTGTGGTCTAAAAAGGCATTTAAGGGAACCCTTAACTTTGCACATATATATTTGAAGATTTAAAAAGGAAGAAAAATAATTTACAAAAAATTTTTGTTGTTGTTTTTTGTGATTAAAGAAAAGTCCTTATTTTTGATGGCGGGCATGATAACTCCTCACTGGAACATCGGAATCCGAAAATTCCAACGGTGTTAGAAAGAGTACATGTCTGGCTCTCGTACGAACTAGGATTATTGACTTCGCTCTAAAATTAACAAAATGGTGGACCTTTGAAAAAATATTTTTGGAAAATCGCCAATTTTTTACCAAAAACCAAGGGGCATACAATTCCGACCACCAACTACCCCAAAATACTCGGGGTCACATTCGACAGCATGTTCAAATCGTCCGCGAAAACCACAGCTATCTGCGATAAGCTGAAAAGTAGGAACAAGGTCCTCAAGTCGCTTGCCGGCACTTGGGGCGCAGATAAAGAAAACTTTTTTGACCTCTTACAAAGCGATAGATCGGTCTGTGGCTAGCTATGCGGTTCCAGTGTGGTCTGCGAATTCTAGTGATACGCAATGGAGAAATATTCAGACCTGTCAGAATGCCGCCCTGAGGACAGCGACAGGGTGCCTCCTCATGACACCAGTGGACCATCTTCATGAGGAGACGAAGATCCTTCCCGTACGTCAGCATAGCAATATCCTTTCGTTGCAGTACCTGCTCTGGTGTTTCAGGGACGATCATCCCAACCATCATATGGTGGATAGGACTCCCCCACCCAGGCGTGTCAGGAAGGATCTGCATGATCTAGAGAGAGAGAGGTCCAACGATACAAAAGGGAGCCTCTAGATCAAGTTGCCAATCGAGCAGGTCTGAATGGCATTCATACAGATGCAGTAGCCGCAGCGCTGAACGGTTACAAAGTGAATGCCGCACTCGGAGCTCACCCCCCACCCATAGCAGCTGAAGAACGTCAGCTGCCTAGACAAACCAGAGTAGTTTCGGCTCAGTTACATTCTGGATGGTGCAGTCGGCTCAATTCGTATTGGGCACGGATTGATGACCAGGTGCAGGATGTCTGCCCAGCATGTGGTACAGGCCCTCATACCACACTGCACTTGTTCAATTGCCCAGCCAAACCTACTCACCTCACTCCGGAAGATCTGTGGTTACAGCCAGTGGAGGTAGCTGCATTTCTGAATCTGGAGACAGAACTGGAGGAAACATAACAGAAAACATACAATTCATATAAACTGCTACAACAACAACAAAAACCAAGTTAAAAAATAAGGAAGATATTCACCGATTGGCTTTATCCTAGTTCATACGAGAGTCGAACAGCACCCAGTCACAACATGATTAGGAACTTAGTCTCCCGTTTTGAGGAATATGGAAGAGTGTTAGATCTTCCAGGAAGAGGAAGAGGTCGATCTGTGCGCAATGAAGCAGTTGTGGAGGCTGTACGACAGAGTGTAAACGAGGATCCACCTGTCTCCACTCGTCGTCGTTGTACTCAATTGGGAATCTCCAGAAGATCCCTGCAAAGAATTTTGAAGCGGGATCTTAAAATGTTTCTGTATAAAATTCAAATGGCACAGCAACTGCTCCCCCAAGACCATCAGGCACGCCTGCAATATCCCAAAGCTAAGACAAACTTCCAAAGCTAAGGCGATTGGCAACAAACTCATGTTTATTAGATTTGAAGCGAAATTGTGCACAACGTAAATAACGTAATTTTTTTGGTGCAACCTTGGAGGGGGCAACTTGGACCGATATAGCACACCTTCGAACTTGACCTGCCTGGAGACTACAGACGCAAGGAATATCCCTGCGTAATACTATGATGGAAGGCAGAAAATAAAGAAAAAGTGTTAAAATATACATTTTAAAAATGTTTTATTTCATGTATAGTAGTATATATAATATAATTATGCCTCGAAAATGTACATTCACATTTCTATAACATATCTAAGTTATATATGATTTGACAATGAACTAACGCGTAGAAGCATGCCTAAAACATGCCGCCAAATCGAAATTAAACATTGAAACAAATGTTAATTAATTCAAATTATCGCAACGAGCGATAATATCTTAACGATTACTTATATAAATACATCTTAAATATACATACATATATGAATAATAATAAAATTAATTTAAAAAATATATTAAAATTACAAATTAAAGCAAATTTGTTGGGGGAAAAAATTGCAATTGAAACAAACAAAAAAACGATTTTACACACATACATATAAGAAATTTTTAATTTTCAATATTCTTTCTGTGTTGCATTTGCAATTCAAAGCGACGATTCGAACGAACACCCTTAATAGCTGCCTCATTTTTACGTGAAGCGACACCAGCGCGTGCAGCCGGAACACGTCCCTTAAACATATCAATGTGACGCTGTAAACGTGAAGCCATCTTATCCTGATTGCTAAGTCCACCAGCGGTTGTTGTTGGTTTCTTTTGCACAATAGATGTATTGGCCGCCAATCGACTTGATGCTGTACTACCGCCGGCTACTTGTGTGGACAAATTAAATGTTGGCTTTGGTTTAAACGAAAACGAATTGGCATTTGTTGATACATTAAACGATTGTGTTGGTTGCAAATGCTTTTTAGGCATCACGTTGCCGCTGCTGTTGGTGTTGGTAGTAGTTGTTGCATATTTTGGCTTCATAGTTATATGCTTAGCATCTCTGGGATCGGGTAAATTAGAAGATGTTGTAATTTTCTCTGTTGACGGATTTTTATTCTGATTATTTGCAAGTGGTATTTTCCTGGCAACATTGATAGAAGTATTTGCTGCCTGCTTATTTTGAGTTTGACTTTGTGATGATGTCATATCGATGCGCTTTAAAGCTTTAGGTTTTTCATTCGGATTGGTGTTGTTATTTTTCATTGATGTGCTAATACTTTTCTGAGCAGATGCTGTAAATAAAAATTGGAAAAAACGTAATGTTAAATACAATGCGGTTTGTTTTAAGGAAAATAAGTAAAATAAGTATTTTTTTTATAATATTTTCCTAGAAATCGTTCATTATATTAAAATAAACATGTACTCTTCGTTTTTTATGAAAAATCTAATATAGGGACTTTGGTGCACCATTCACCTAAAATTGGACGAAAATATATATGGGAGCTAAATCTAAATCTTAACCGATTTACACGAAACTTAACACACATCACTCTAGACTTCATTCAGTACGCTATGCCAAATTTAGGAACCTTTGCTAACCTTCAGCTAAAATGCAAAAAGGCATAACTACCAAAAGTATAATTGTTTAGGAGAAGCAAAAAAACAGTTTTGAATGAAAACTATAAACATGTCATGTGAAATGAAAAAGTATGCCCGGCAGGGTGATATCGCATATGACGAATAATAGACTATAATTTTTTTAACAAATTTAGTTGTTATTTAGTTTAATGGCCGTCATAACAATTATGTAAAATTTTGAAATTTTTGTTAGTTACGCCTTTTTGCATTTAGCAAATAAACCAACTTGTAGTTACGTCTTTTTGCTTTTTGTTAATAGAAGTTCCTTTTTTGACCGCAGACGTGTAAAACTTTGTCAATACATGCAGTTTATTGACATTCACAATATTCATTCAAAAAGTCAATATTCTTTTGTTATTTACGCCTTTTTGCATTTTAGCTAACGATATATGGAAGCTATATCTGAATCTGAACCGATTTTCACGAAACTCACCACTTATCATTCTGGACCAAGAGATATTGTCTGGACCAAGATAATTGTCTTCTGGACATGTTTAAATCGACTTTAAAAGTGATTCTTTACATATTCTCAAAAGGAACCATGTGTCTAACCAGGGGATCGATTGAGAATATAAATAAGTTCTTGCTCTATAGCTACTGCAACAGAGGATGGCCTATATAAAAAAATTAACGAGTTATTCGAATTACCACAGCGGTAAGACAAAACATTGCTTCAAATATCATCAAGTTGGAAATGCTTGTTCTTGAAATTCATGTTGGAATGTTAAGTAGCACATTGCGTTTATGTATTCTGAAATTTTCCAAATCGATAAATTTCCAAGTCAACATCCAAAACTAACGAAACATAAAATTGTTTGTTGTATCAATATATCCCTCCTCTAGTATCCCTTTTATCTCTCCATTTGGTGGTTGGTATTTGTTTACATCCCCCCTACATTGCTGTCACGCTTATACAAACACTAAGGGTTGTTTTTTCTGGTTTTCTACCTAAACTCGGGCTTGGAGTTTTCTACCTAAATAGAGACGTTGTTGTTGTTCTTATAATATAACAATTGGTATTTGTAGGGACGAATATCTCCACTTTACTCGAATTTTCATTTATTTCTAAGCAGATACGAAAATGTGGTAAATAAAAAGAAATAAATTCAAACAAAACAAACTGTACTGGGTAAATAAATAAAACAAGTATCCCTACTCTTTTATCAAACAAATTAAGAGATATGTGTTATTATTTACCTGGTCTTATTTTGCTGTTTGAGTTGATCAAAATTTTAGATCTTTCCTGTTTGCGAGCCACATGATCAGCTAAGTTTTCCATTTTTTGGAACTGTTTCTGATGTATTGCAGCAAAATTTGGTAATTTTGTGCGTGTTGGCTTTATCATACTTGAAGAGGACGATGATGATGATGTCGAGATTGTTGTAGAATTAAGGAATTGCTTTTGATTTGCCACTAATAACAAAAAATAAAATAAGTTAATATTTTTGTAATCCAAAACAAATGAAATTTAGAAAAAAAACAAAAACTTACATGGACGTGGTAGTCTTGATGTAACACAAATAGACTTTGACATTGTCGAGTCATCAAAGGAATATGAACGTTTACGTCTTGTAGTTACATCTGTAATATAATAAATTAATACATTGTGTGTTTCTATTGGGATAACCTGTTTTCCTACTACTTACTTTTAGCTTTATTTTCTTCTTCGGATTTCTGCACTCTTCGCTTAAAATTTTCTATGATCTGTTTATCCAAATCTTCAATGATTGCGGTTTGATTAGCAGGACTATAGAAATTAACAGCTTTTTGTTGGGCCTTTTTGGCACTTCTGGTAAGCTTAGGTGCGGCCGACGCCGATCCCAAACATACGGACAGCGAACGCTTACGTATACCTCTTAAGACAATATCTCTTGGAGTCATGGTTGTTAGTTCAGATGTACTGAAATTTAAGTTTTCCTTCTTTAAAGGTAATTTTTTGCCACTACCATGCAGTTGTTGCGGTTCCGATTTAGGTTTACTATCGCTTTTAGTGCGATACGGTGTTAAATGCCGAACAGGCATTCTCGATTGTTTGGGTGTTGAGGGTGATGATGGAATTTGATTGCTAAACATAACTTTCGGTTTTTTCTTCGCGGGTCCCAATTCATCCTCCTCTTCATCATCAGATAATTGAAGTTTATCCATTTCTGTAGATTCGGTAGAAATTGCAAAATTATCGATAGTGTCATTTGCCAATGTGTCTTCTTTAGCTGCATTAGTTGTTTCGATGCCGCCTTCATTAATAACAACTTTATCTTCAGCATCATAAGTTTCATTTAAGTTAGCACTTTCTTTTTGAGATTTCTCATTATCTTCCACCACCTCCTCCCCTTCATCGTCATCATCACAGAGAATTAGTGAAGGCATTTCCTCTGGTTGTTCGGCAGATGCCAAAATTTCATATTCTGCCTTTTTCACCTCTTGTTTAATGGACGATACTGCATCTGTTTCATCATCATCATTGATGGGATTTAAACCCAAATCATCCATATCAATTTCTTTTGATTTCAAATAAGAACCAAAGGAGTCATTTTCTAAGCTTGGTTTTTCGTCCACTTCCTCCTCAATTTGGGTTTTCAAGTGTGGCATTTCTTCCTCTTTTTTCTCAATTTGTTTCTCTTCTTTTATTTCTTCAATAATGGAATCATCTTTAATAGATATCATTGATATGTCCTTGACATCTTCTTCTTCGTCTGGGACATGTATATCATCTTCCTCTTCCATTTTTAATGGTGGAATATCGTTTAACTTATCCTCTGGTTCTTCTTTCAATTCCTTAACAATATTTTCCTCCTCCTCCTCTTCTTCTTGTATCAATTGGATATCTTCATCATCAGCATGTTTATCTTCTTCCTGCATTTGAGTGAGTTTATCTTCTGCTTGTTCTTCTGGATCCTCTTCTATTAAACAGATTACTTCTTCAGTAGTTTCCTCTTCCTTTAACTGACACTTTTCATGCTCATCTTCGTTTTGTATTAAATTAATCTCATCATCAACAACATGCTCCTGTGGGGCTTCTTCATTGCTAACGCATACATCTTCCTGTTCTTCTTCCTTGACAGCAGAACACAAAGCATTCTCCTTCTTCTCAATCTCTTCATGTACAGTATGTACCATCACCTCGGGAGCGGTCAAATCTTCAGTCTCCTTCTCTTCTTTGACTTGTACAGTTGCATCATTGTTTTCTTCAAATGCATTTGAAGAAACATGAGCATCGCCGCCGCCTCCACTTGGTTCATCCAATGCAGTTTCATTTAAATTCCTCTTACCACGACCTGTGTTGTTTGTGTTGCGTCTAGATTTTCGTGTACGTTTCGTTGAAGATCTACCAACACTTGCTGCCGTCCACTTGGGATGTTCCTCATCGTGGTCATTATTCTCATTTTCCTCATTGTTCTCTTCCAATGAGTTTAGTTTCTTCCTAGCGGATCGCCTTGCGGACTGTTTTACAATATCATCGTAATCCTGGGGTGGCTTAATACTCTTACGACAACTCCTGCGTGGTGTTTGCAGCATATCCTGCAACACGGATTCCGATGCCTGTGGTGTACAAGCAGTTACCTTTTGCCTCCTTCTGGTGGAAGGAGTCTTCAACAATGGTTCCACTGCGCCATTCTCATCGATTTCTGTCTCATCTTCGTTTTCATCCTGTGACAATATCATTTCAACTTCTTTTTCCAAATTTTTAACTTTTCTTGGACGCCTTGATACATTTTCAAGGGTATGGGTTAGTGGAGCTATAGAACAATGATGAGATCATATTTAAGGATATTTTCACAACAGTTTGCCTCCACCAGAAACTTACCCCCATCACAATCATTTGTAGTTTCCATTCTGTATGGTTGCACAAATTATTTTCCGTTTATTTTCAATACTAAAAAGCAACTAGAAATCTAAAATTATATTAATTCTAACAAGAGCGTCACTTGCTGTTGTTTTCCTTTCAGTGAAAAATATTTGAATGCCGTTATATTTTCAAATGTCCACCAACAAAGCTTGGTATGCTTGGCAGCACTTTTTAGGAAGTGTTTGTAATGCAGTGACATATGCAAAAGGTAATTGCTGTGTAACTGTAGGCAGCATTTAGATGGGGCATAACAAAATAGAGGAATACAAAATGTTTTACAGACAAACACTAAAGAATTAATTAATAAATAAAGATATTTTGATTGATTATAGGAAATAAAAAAGGCATAATATTATAAATAATACGAAAAAAAGTAAAATAACGTTTCAATGTTTTTCGCAAAAGACTTTTTGGTAAGAAATATTTATCAATATGTTTATACTTTGGTTAATTGTCAAGTGACCGGCTTGGATTACATAATTCTGGATAGTATAGGAAATTGTAATAAAAATAATATTTTCCTCTATGTATTCATATTTATTTTCACAGTGTCTGGACTACTTTGTTACAAGGATTTTTTGACATTTCAATTAATTGACATTTAAATAACCATCAATTACCTTCAAACTTTGAGAGGGGAATATTGTAATTTTTGTCGTTGTCTTATGAATGACGAACATGAAAGTCCACGCTATTGAACAAGCAACATTTGGGCAAGAAAGCGTGTCATTCAAGAATTATAGTGTTTACACCGCATTAAAAAGGTTTCATGATCAGAATATTTAAAATAGGAGGCTTTTATATATTTTCAATCGTCTCGATTTGTAAATAGAGTAACTAGATATTTGCTGTAACTAAATCTAGATAGGGATAACAATTTGGTGGTATCAAAAGTAATGGTAAATAAAACTCACAAAATATTTTTTTTAGGTATAACTTTTTTATTGTAAGGTTTGAACTTTGACATCATTGGTCTGTTCCAGAACCTGCAAGAATGTACAATTTTTTATTGCGATAAAAAGTTTTCCTTTATGATATCGAAAAAAAATGTGTGAGACACGATATATGGTCCGCACTGCAAGAATCTACTCGACATTACTATTTTCTTCCACAACATAAAAGAAAATTCTTTATCGTAGTAAAAACTAATATATTTTTGCATTTCGGGATCAGACCAATAATTTATATGAACTCCACGGGAACATATTGGGCGGTATCTCAGCCATAACTTTTAAGGGCTCAAGTGTCTCAAAGCAAACAAAAAATCGGCATTCATAGCGCTCCGAAGAAGTAAGTTTCAATCACCAATGCTAGGCTGAAAAAATAACATTGCTTTAAAAATAATATTTTCTTCCATATCATAAAGGAAAACGTAATTCCTTTAATAATTAAGTTTTTTCTTTTATTTCCATTTTTTAATTTTAATGAGCAATGGTCAAACGAGAAAATGAGTGTGGGGAAGAATTAGAAAAATCATAAATTTGACGCAAGTATTATTTGCGAGAAGAAATTTTGTCATGAAAGTTTGCTAGTGTGACTACTGACTGTAGAAACTAAAATAATCTACTACTTTTTCAAGTTTTGCAACTTTTTACTCGAAAACCGTTCCTGAACCCACAAAACTGGTAAAAAAAATGGAATCAATTTTAAGAGAGGACAAAACATGGCGTTCTCTTTGAAAACTTTTTACTCGAGAAATTTGGCAGAGTAAAATGGTAAACAGGAACTTTTCCCGAACTTTTCAATTTTTTATTGTACTATGAGATCGATTTTGAAATGTTTCCCTTTTACTAGCTTTTGGTCTGTTCCCGTACTGCTTAAAGGAAAAAAAGTGTTATCGGAGTAAAAAATAGTATATTCTTGCAGTACGGGAACAGACCATTTACTATTAAAAAAACAAACCATATGAGGCAAAAATTGCCTCATCTAAACTTGTTATTAGTTCTTCTGGCATATACCAATGCCGTTGAACAGACAAACACCGACTACGTAGTTCAGTGGTTGTCGGTGCCGTCATATGTGATTACTTCATTGAACGGCGACTTTTGACAAATTGGCAATTGGATCGTTTCATTGAGAGAGATTTGGGGAGCAATATCAATTAAAAAAACTAGTTAATTAATTTATTTGTAATAAATTCCATAAGAAAAACGTGTTTTACAACAACATAATAGTGATTAAATATAAATATATTTATAAAGTGTTAAAATCAAATCAAATTACAAAAATAAAAATACGTTAAAAAGCAACAAGTGAATGAACTCATAAAAATATTTTCGACAATGTCCCTTTAATCTCATCTCTCCTTGAGAGTAGTACGCTAGTGTGTGTATGATTGTGTTTTTATTTGTAAATTCAAACTATTTCTTTTGACATTGCTCAGGGCTGGCTGGCTGCTGGAGAAACAAGAAACAAATCTAAGAAGACCTTGAATTTTGTTGTATACTGCGATTGTGTAAACAAAACGGGATAAACAGTGATAATTTATTTAAACAATAAAAAAGTTTCAGCCCGTGGTGTTGTTTTAAACAGTACGACTACATTCGTAAGCATTTGTGTTTTGATCGTTCTTGTCGCTGTTGTTAGCTGCAGGCGGCGGTGGGTGGAAAGTGTCATTTAACAGCTGATTAGTACTCTCATTATTTTCGTTTACAACAACAACAACATGAAATTAAGAAGAATGCAGACAATCTAATTTGAAGCTAATTTTTTAATATTAATGTATTTCACAATCGCACTACAATAATCATGGGAAGATCTCAGGATTTATTGGATGCAGCAAGAACTGGCAATATTAGTGTTGTTGCCAAAATTCTGGAGCATTATGCCAAAAAAGGAGGTCCACTTTCTAGGTAAGCGAAATACTTTCATTTTTAACCCTGATTTGGTGATCATATATGGAAAATAAAAATATTTTGGTAAATTGACAGAATTCGAACTTCAAATAGCTGTGATGATATTTATACCAAAAACAACACCGTATACCCTTTTCCAGAATGGTTAAGAGGATTGGTCCGTTGTTATTTTTAAATGGCCGATGGATTTTAGATTTAAACCCTCCGATATAAATATTTTTTGTTTGATCGACACTTATAAATAGAGTAAGGAAAGCGACCCGTCGCGGATCTTTTTGAAAATTTCGATTGGCCCCATTTGTTAACAGTCAAAAATTTCCTTCCAAATAATAAAACTTCTTGTTTCTATGATTTTTGGCGGATATTTAGGATTTGTTCCGGCACATGCTATATTGTCATTTTAAAACTAATGGGAAATATATTGTTCTATATGGAATTTTGGGGGCCCATTATGTTCGGTAAATCCGAAATTTCATGAGGAGGGCCTGGGATCACGCCTAAAATTGTCGGAATTTTTTTATTGGGTAACTTTATAAAATATGAAATTTTTTGAAAGCGGATTTTTATCCACCATGAATACGGAATGTTAAATTGCAGCCACTTTGGTTGCAAAATACGCTTAACATCATCATGGCGTTGGGCCTTTATATGTGGGCTATGTCAAAGCTATACCAATTTTGAACATTTTCTTCAAAGATTTTATTTATACAAAGAACTGGGGAAAGAAGTCGAGAGGCTATGTCATTGTATTAACCCATAAAAAAACGAAATGTCAAATTACAACTACTCTGTTTGGAGAATAGATCTAAGACCATTCATAGATCTTGGAACAACTCCATGGTATAATAATAAAAGGTAACAGCAAGTGTTGTTGTACAAAAAACGATACAACAACCACATGGAAATTTGTTGTTGTAAGTTCTACTAGTGTCAACTCATGTTTACAGAAAAATGTAAACAAAGAAACAAACAAATTATCATCAAATTATTTTTATTTTGAAAATGAAATATTTTCGAATCCTCAAAATAAAAATTGAAAAACATGAATGAAAATCTATCAAATTTATATTTCTATCGCTTCCACATCTTTCCTTTAATTGAGCCATTGCCATATATATGCGTAACACGTATGAAAATGCTGGGAATAGCGAGTTATTCCTTCAAGAAAGATTTGCTTCCTCAAACTTTCCCAGCAGGCAGATTGAGTAAATTGAATACGGGAGCACATTAATAAAGAACAATTTCAAATTGTATGCGTTCCTAATTTTCCTGTTGGGTGATTTTTAAAAACATAATTTGTCAAATTCATATCGACACTAGTATTACGTTGGAATCAAATCAGCTGGGATTTGCTGTTACCTTTTATAATTGTACCATGGAACAACTCTAGTTTAGTAAAAACGATTAGATTTTTCTGAATTTAAGACTCTCTCCTATGGACATATACCAACATCGCGACAGAATCTCTTGTTAAATAGAATAGCTTTTTGGTTGAATGCCTTTCGCCCGGGAATTTAAGACTTTCTCTTATGGATACCAACAGATACCAACATCGGCTACGCGACAGAAACTACTTTTAAATAGTATTTTTTGTGTAGACGGCCTTCGGACGGGGATTTAAGACTTTCTGATATGGACAGATACCAACACCGCCTACGCGACAGAATTTCCTTGTTTTTTAGTGTTCTAAGGCCCATTCTAAGGCCCATTTCTTTTGATCCACAACAGATACAGCCACTTATCGGACCATTTTGGAAAGGGAAAATTGGTCTATCAATTGAGTCAGGACCCAAGTTCGACATTTAGGACGTTTTTCAAAACCCAGTTTTTGGACTGTATCTTCAAAACAGTATGAGATAAACCCATCATATCTCCAATGGAAAGGTGTTTTTATGACCTTTAAAATGATGATATTAACTGGATCCATAGAACCGGATATAACCGGGTACCCGTACCCGAACTTCCGGGTCAAATAACCGGCTACGTCCTCCTAGAAAAAAAGATATCCCCTTTATTAGGGTAAAAATACCTACCTCTGGAAAAAATTTCAGAAAAAACTGATCGTTTTTACTAAATTAGAGTAAAGCCTAGATCTTTACATGAGGAATATGGATTCTAAATTGGAGCAGTTTACCAAATTGTTGACTCGATCACATTCTACTACCTTTCCTATTGATTTTCATAAACCCACCCGATTTTTGTTTCTGTTTTTCAGTTTTCGACGCAGTCCCAGTATAAATGCACAGGATATGAATGGTTACACCCCGCTACATCATGCCTGCCTAAATGGTCACGAAGAAATTGTACGCCTCCTATTGGCTAGCGATGCTGCCACCGATATACCAGATATACGTGGTTCAACGCCACTTTATTTGGCATCATGGGCAAATAAACCAGATATTGTAAAAATGCTGTTAATGCATCCCCGCCGACCGGCAAATCCCAATGCACAAAATTCACAAAATGAAACACCACTGCATTGTGCTGCCGAGCATGGTCACAATGCTGTTGTTGCAATACTCTTAGCCTATGGTGCTGATCCAACAATACGTAATAATAGTTTTCAAACTGCATTAGATTTGGCATCACAATTCGGACGATTACAAGTGGTACAATTATTGATACGAACACATCCTGAATTAATTGAACCATTTCGTGTGTACGACGAAATGGTGGCTTTGGAGAATGGTCATTCACCACCGTATACGATAACACCAACCAAACATATTTATACACATTCATGTTTACATTTGGCGGCACGTAATGGTCATAAAAAAGTTGTCGAAACACTACTGGCAGCCGGTGTTGATGTAAATATTTTGACAAATTCCGGTTCGGCACTGCACGAAGCGGCATTGTGTGGTAAAAAGTCGGTGGTTTGTACATTATTACGAGCCGGCATCGATCCATATGCTGTTGATGGTAATGGCCGAACGGCATTGGATATTCTAGTTGATTACCCACCGCATGTCACTTATGAAATTGTTTCGATAATTAAGGGTAAGTTGAAAAAATGGTATTAGTTTGCAATTTTGTACTATATTTAATTTTATTTTAAAAAGCTATCATTTAATTTAAAAAATAATTTCATTAAATTCGGCCATCATAGACCTTTATTAGCCTCCTCTATTGTCAATTGGGGCTGATTCAAGTCGTTTTAATTTACCTAGATTAAGTATTACATTAAAAATATATTTAGCACAATGTTGTATTATATTTTACGTTCCAATTCTCCATCCATTCTGAAACTACAATTGTAAATACTTTGTAGATTTTCTCATGAATACGTCTTCAAATAAACAACTATACAAACATAATTTTGTAAATTTAAACAAATCATCGTTTGTTTTACCCACTTTGTTTTGTTTACTTGCTATTAAGCTATTTGATTATGAACAGATACAACAATATTATGACATACATGCAGCATTGCCATTAGTGGTCAAGTGTGTAGGAGGCACAGTAGAATATAGCGGCATCATCATCCAGTAATTTGCCATATATAAGAACGTTCAGTGACCGGTCTGTATTGTTGTTTAGCTTATTTTCTTTAAAAAATCTTATTGCATTGTTTTTTATCTCTATGACTCATTAATTAGATATGTATGTACATTTCTTACAGATTTTTGCCAAGACAGCAGTAAGATGGAAAATAAAACCCATTTCATGCCAATTAAAGATGTAAATGACAATAATACATTATCGAATTATGAGGATGATGCAAGATGTGAAGAAAACAAAATAATGGAGCAACGGAATTTCCATCATCATCCGAATTCTGTAGAACCTCCACCACATTCAATGACAAAGAAGTAAGAATGACTTGAATGTTATATCCATTATAATGTAATTTATGTGTTTTCTTCTTGTTTTTGTGTATGTGTGTGTGTTTGCCCGCGCCTAATGCACTTCTGTTTTTTTTTTCAATATCCATCTTCATGTCTTTATGCACCATATCATCATCAGTGTTATGCACCTCTAGCGACCACAACCACCACCACCACCAACCATCCATACACCCACGTTACACAATGCACCACAAAATAAAATAAAAAACCCCATTCCTATTCTCTATTGTTATGGATATTATTGCTTATATATAGGAAAACAAAAAAATGTTTGTTTATACATTCCTGGATATGAATGTGATACATGATGTTGTTTGTTTTAAATGTTATATTTTATATTCTAGTTTATAGGTGATGATCTCATACATGCATTACTAATTACAAATTATACACTAACATTAATGTGATATTTGTTTTTTTTCGTTCAACTGAATACATGTAATAATAATCATTTGTTATTTTTAAAATACATCAACATGCATATTTATATATCATTAATTAAAAACGTTTATTTTTTTGTATCTCTTTAAAATTTCGATCGATGTGTATTAAAAAGGGTAATTTAGACTAATTTGCTTTATGTGTTATGAACAAAATAATTATTAATTAAAAACAATTTTCGAAGGAACTGTGTTTAAGATTAGGAATTGGGAAATGTAATGTGATAAAAACATAGTCTGGGAATAACAACCAACAGAATATATTTACATTTATTTGTAATGTATTAAAATGGATGTAGTACTTTCTATATACAGAACTACCGGCAAATCCGAATTTTTCCAAATTTTCAGAAGAAAATGTTTTGTGTTTGCCATACCGGGAGTAGGCGATCATTTTTTTCATCAATATTACTTTGTGTGACCCCAATCGTTGGCCTGGGCCATCTTCATCCATTTTCACAAGATGGCGAATAGTTGGTACAGCTCATGGTTCATTCGACGGCGATATTCACCGTCAAAGCAGATCGGCCCATAGATCTTTCGGAGAATTTTTCTCTCAAACACTCCAAGAGCTGCCTCATCTGCTTGCGTAAGTACCCATGCTTCATATCCATATAACAGCACGGGTAGTATCAGCGTCTTGTAGAGTGTGAGTTTGCTATGGCGGGAGGTGGTCTTGTTTCTAAACTGCTTACTCAGACCATTGTAGCATCTGTTGGCCAACACTATACTTCTCCGAATTTCAAAACTGATGTCATCTTTTTTTATGGCGGTACCAAGGTATATAAAATCTTTAACTACCTCCAACCTGTAGTTCTCAAGTTCAACAGTTGATCCGAGTCTACTGGACGTCTTGCGCGTTGTTACCATCAGCTTGGTCTTCTTACCGTTTACTGCCAGACCCACTTTGGCAGACTCCTTCTTAATTTGTTATCGCTCACAATGTTCGACCCATTATGCCGATGTCATCGGCGTAGGCGAGTAACGTGTGTACAGAGTGCCATTTCTGTTCACATTTGCATCTCGTATGGTCTTTTCCAGCAGGATGTTAAAAAAGTCACACGAATCCTCGTTCGGTATTAAAGGGCTCCGAGAGGTCCTTTCCGACTTTAACTACTGATCTTGTACCAGTTAAAGCTATCCTGCATAGCCGAATTAATTTTGCAGGAATGCCAAACGCAGACAGGTAGAATGTGTTTTTTCCAAAATCTGGCGCAGAGTGAAAATCTGGTCTATGAAAGACTCCCTTCAGTTCGTCTATGAAAGACTCCCTTCAGTTCGTTTATGAAAGACTCCCTTCAGCTCGTCTATGAAAGACTCCCTTCAGTTCGTCTATGAAAGACTCCCTTCAGTTCGTCTATGAAAGACTCCCTTCAGTTCGTCTATGAAAGACTCCCTTCAGTTCGTCTATGAAAGACTCCCTTCAGCTCGTCTATGAAAGACTCCCTTCAGCTCGTCTATGAAAGACTCCCTTCAGCTCGTCTATGAAAGACTCCCTTCAGCTCGTCTATGAAAGACTCCCTTCAGCTCGTCTATGAAAGACTCCCTACAGCTCGTCTATGAAAGACTCCCTTCAGCTCGTCTTTGAAAGACTCCCTTCAGCTCGTCTATGAAAGACTCCCTTCAGCTCGTCTATGAAAGACTCCCTTCAGCTCGTCTATGAAAGACTCCCTTCAGCTCGTCTATGAAAGACTCCCTTCAGCTCGTCTATGAAAGACTCCCTACAGCTCGTCTATGAAAGACTCCCTACAGCTCGTCTATGAAAGACTCCCTTCAGCTCGTCTATAAAAGACTCCCTTCAGCTCGTCTATGAAAGACTCCCTTCAGCTCGTCTATGAAGGACTGCCTTCTATGCATGACTCTTCAGCTCGTCTATGAAAGACTGCCTTCGTCTGAGCTTCTACTCTTCTATAACGACTCCCTGAGCTTCTACTCGTCTATAAATACTCCCTGAACTTCTACTCGTCTATAAAGACTCCCTGAGATTATACTCGTCTATAAATACTCCTCGAGCTTCAGTACGTCTATAAGGACTCCCCAAGCTTCATTTTGTCTATAAAGTCTCCCTGAGTCTCAGCTCGTCTAAAACGACTCTCTGATATTCAGCTCGTTTTTAAAAACTCCCTAAGCGTAAGCTAGTCGATAAAAAAACTTCCTGAGCTTCCAAACTACTGTTTGCAAATTTTTATTACCCCCTTACAGCCTGTTTGGAATTTTACAAAAACAGGCTGTTAGTCCTCGAAATTATTATGTATACCCTTTACCAAACTGTGGTACAAGGAATCGAGGCAAAAGGAATCGAGATAGACCCATGGTATAGAATCACTTTCTGAGTCGATTTATGCATGCCCGCCCGTCTGTCCATGTTAAATTGTAAAAAAGTGTAGGTCGCTTTTCTGCTCCGAATTAGATAAAATTTGGGACAGCTCATCTATTTGGACGAAATCTATTAAAATTGGGAAAAATCGGTTCAGATTTAGATATAGTTCTCGTATTTTTTTCCGATTTAAGACAAATGGTGCACCAAAGTCCCTATTTATCTTTCGATTTTTTTTTCCGATTTAAGACAAATGGTGCACCAAAGTCCCTATTTATCTTTCGATTTGCACGAAATTTGGCACAGCGTACTGAATTGAGCCTGAATAGCAAAGACGTATAAAAGTATGCCAAATGCGCCAGCGACCGTGCAATGTAAAATTTTAACAAATTTTTCTGACAATAAAATTTATGCATTTCAATGGCTTATTAGGCATATTTGTTAACAATAATTTTTAGTGAGTAATAAATTAATTTTTACAAAAAGAAAAGATGTGAAATTTTGATATTTTTTCTCGTACTCATGATTTTTATGTTTGTCTTAAAAATTACATCATTGTGTCTACTCCTCTATGATCTGTCTGTCTGTCTATTCTGTCCAAATCACTTCTTTTCAAATGCCAGTGCTTTCACTTTTTTTGTGTATGTGTCTAAGTTTAAATATATAATTTGTGTGGTTACATCAAGTGTATAACAAAATTTATTTATTTAAAAAAAAGTTTTATGGAACGCCAAATATCCATCGATCGTTATACACCAATGGAACCAATACTAAATCCAAAAACAACAATACCAAAGAGTAATCGCTCAACTCCAGAAACTATACTAGAATATAAACCCGTCTATACCACAAATCTTCTAAATCGTCGTTTGGGTACACTCAACACCGAAAAAATATTTCCCAAATTAGAAACGTATAGACAAAGTAGGTATTTACATGAAGTTTTTACCACACTTTCGAAATATGACATCACTTTTGATTTGAATATAGAGGAGGAAGAAAAGATGCCGGCCGTCAATTCCACACAATATTACTGTGTAGATGAATATGTTGAAATGAAATTGCCCGGTGGAAGTGCCGGTAATACACCCCGAACGCCAGTTGGTATAGATCACCAACCACAAATACCGTTACCAAGTCCTAGAAAAAATCTTGAATATTGCGATTATGCAAATATTAGTGTTATTATGGATAATGCTCAAAATAATAATCGACGGCGCCAAAAAGAAAATGAGCGAGATGATGAAGCTGATTGTAATAACAAGTAAGTTGTAATGAAGTAATTTGAAATCTCATAAATCAAAGGAATTGTTAAAATTATGTGATTTTTTTTTAATCGATATTATTTGGTATGTGTATATAGTAGAGGATATGTAGAATTTGAAAATCATTAAATATAAAAACTTTTATATATTACTAACCCAGGGGCTTGCATTATTAGTTTTGCTTTATTATTAAAATAAGTTTTGCTAAATGTTTGGTCTCAATCTTATCCAATCTGGTTGAGTTTGTGCATTTTTTTGGGGGTTTATCTTAAATGTTTGAACTAATACCCAAAAAAGTCTTAGAAAATGTGTTCTTAATCGAATTATAATTGATTGATTATATAAGATATATGATTTTATCAAAATGTTGACAATTGATTGGGGAAGACCAAAATGAGTGGGTCTCTTCTGACTTTATCCAGGTTCAGAAAAAAAAACCATTTACATAGCTGGTACTAAATCGGAAACACTAAATCATGATCGATACTTCCATAAAATGCAACGCCCGATAACTCTGAAGACCTCCGCAATGGCAATGTCAAGGGAAATTCATCTGGAGCTGGAAAAGTGGCTTCAAGGTCTACGTTATAATTCTTGAAGTATGCTTTGTAAACGTGAGACGGTCCTTAAAGTTCTTAAGGATATATAAAAACTATCGCAAATATACTCCACATATTAATAAGACTTTTGAGGTCAATATTTCAAATTAGAGATTATTCTATCAGAATAAAAATAGGAAGATTTTTTTTTTTTATAAATTTCAATTTAATCCAAATACAGTGAATTTTATATAAAAACTTAAGTTACGATGTTGAGTCAACAATAATTTAACAGCTGTTGTCACTCGCGGTCCTTCGGTCCATTGGGTTTATGTTGAGTACCTGAAAAGTAGAACATATAGAGATTAAGATTTTATTGCGAAGAAACATGTAAGAGTATAAATTTTATACCTTAGTAGTTGAGCATTTTTTTCATCCTCACATAAATGGCAGTAGTAATGTCCCAATTGAATGGGAGGGGTCTAATGGTCCTACTTCGCGAATCCTTCGGCCAGATGCATTTTGTTCACGCATACCAATTTGAAAGACCATTTCCGAGATGTAGTCTTCTACTTGATCTTTCCATCGGATTCATGTCCTTCCCATGCTTCAGATCCATACAACAGTACGGGTAATATCAGCGTCTTGTAGAGTGTGAGTTTGGTAAAAGGTAACCTTGCTTTTGAGTTGCTTACTCAGACCATAGTAGCATCTGTTGGCCAACACTATTCTCCTATGCATCTCTCTTTGGTTCTGGAGTATATGCTTCACCGCCACTATTTGATACCAGAAGTTTTCCATAATGCACTTTCCAGATCCTCAGTACGCTTACTGTATCTGTCACCAGGTTTCATTCTTCATCTCTAAGGAAGGATGTGCCTGCACCAAAACCTTCGGTTTGAGGTTGTACATCTCGATTTGTCCACGTTTTTGTAGTTATTTGTTCTTTTTTCTGAAAACACGTTTCTCCTCTCACCTTTTCTCCCGATAGTTCTCCATCGCATTGTTGCTACTGTCCGCAGGTTTGCCCTATACGCTGCGTTTTTCATATCAGTAGCATCACGACACTCCTGATCGTACCACGAATTTCTTGATGGTGGTCTTTGGTACCCAAGTGTTGCTTTTGCTGCAGCTTGTAGGGAGTGGGAAATTCTTTGCCATTGTGCTTCTATATTATTATCGGGACAAGGCGTGCTTTCTTCAAGCAGTTGAGTAAGTTGAGCGGAGTATGCATCTGGTATCTGTTGTTTTTGCAGCTTTTCGACGTCGAATTTCCGTGTTACTTTAGATCGCACCTTTGCTGCTACATTAAGACGGGAATCGATATTCGCTCCTCGGATCGATCGAACGTCTTAAACACTGGATGAATGCCTTCCGTCTATCACAACATGATCGATTTGATTTCTCGTTGCTCGATCGGGAGAAATCCAAGTGTCCTTGTGTATATCGATGGTTAAATCTGGTGCTGCTAACTACCATGATTTTTGCTGCCGCGAGGTCATTCAACCTCATGCCGTTGTCTGATATTTCATCATGGAGGCTGAATTTTCCGACGATGGGGCTAATAATATTTTTCCTTCCGATTTTTGCATAAAAATCTTCTAGCAGAATTTTAATGTCATAGCTAGGGCAGCGGTCGTATGCTGTTTCTAGGCGCTCGTAAAATATGTCTTTGGTCTGTTCATATTTATCTTCGGTCGGAGCATGGTCGCAAATGAGACTGATGTAAAAGATTATAGCAATTTGTTCATCTGTTGGAGTGAATCTGGAGACGTGGTTTTTTATTCTCCTGTTAACCATAAATCCGCAGCCAAATTCATGTCTCGTTTAAAGGCAGCTATAATACAAGCCGTAATCATCTGATTTACTTACGCCAGTCCCTTTCCATCGCATTTCCTGTGAGGCAATAATATCGGCTTTGTACTTCTTGAGTACATCCGCCAAAGCGAACACCCCGCCTGTTTGCACAACGTGCGCCAATTCCAAGTGCAGATTCGCAGATCGTGATCCTTTATACGTTTGCGGGGGTCCTCAACATTAGAGGTTGTTTGGTTTTCTTTTTCATAGTAGGAGGGGTTTTCCGAGTGTGGGCAACTAAGCCGACGCCTTAACCCATTTTTTTATAGTTCTTATGGGTGAACTCGCAGCACATATTAGCTCACTATTTCAACGGGTGATGAAAATAGCTACCCCAGGTGGCACCACGGGGTAGCTACAAATGAGATGAAATAGGGACCAAGATAAGCCTGGGCTTCGCCATGTTAAAGCCAATCAGAGCCGTTGCTTGGTATCTATCATCCCCTACGTCACCTACAGCCATGGAACCTATTCCAATATTCGATACCAATTATCTTAACTTTTTAAACTTTATATTAAATATTGATCCTGATCCTATTTTAAAATCTAAGTATCTAAAGCATTTTAAAAATGATTTGGTGAATAAACACATTCCTATCAAAATTTCATCTATAATCCCAACTTTATTTTGACACATTTTGGATTAATCATATGTCCGTCCCTGTCTCAAAATATCTTAATATTTGTTTGCTTTATTTCATTTATTTTCCAATCGAAAACAACATATAAAATAACAATAATAACTGTACACATCCGCATCCTCCCTATCATGGATTTTCCCAAAAAAAAAAAAAATAATAATTTTTATCATAATCATCTATGTACCTGAACAGGTAGAAACTACATTACACGACAACCACAGATAAAAATATGTCCCACTCAAATCAAAAATATGAATTTTGTATATACGATCTGGCATCATTGTTCTTTGTTCAGCATGAACAAAAGGATATGACGCACAGGATAGGATAGCACGTGCGCCATTTATAATTCCTAACACATTTTTGTGGCAGCTGTAGATGTAAAACAACGCCTCTCCTTTGTGTTAGTAATAAAGAAAGAAATCTATTTAATTTTGGATTAAAATTAATATTTTGTACTAAAAATTTTTGAAAATGAAAGTGAAATAATTTTTAATAAGCATGTTAACAAATAACCTAAACAACATATTGTGATATAAAGTTAAGCCACCCTAGTTAGAAAACAAATTTGTATCCTTGCTAAAAGAAGGATATCAATTAAAGAACAAAAATGCATTTTCTTATTTCCATAAAATAAGATATTTCAAAACGGTAGAGTATTTCATTGAAAACATTTAAAATAAATTTTAAATCAAATTCATGTTTTTTCTTCTTCTCTAAATATTTCAGTGATATTCAACCAAAGACAACGTCTATACCAAGCAACAATAATTTCGATACGAACAACAACAACGATTCTCGAAGACAAAGTCAAGACAGATCTGTACACTCGCCAACCCCCGATTGTCCTCCACCATCGGCTTTTCAAGCAGAAACCACAATATTCGAATTTGTGAAACCACCACCGGATAAAAGTTGGAAACGTAAATCATTACAATTGCAAAATCGCAATTCCCAATTCTACAATAATCTAAAATCCTTTATATGGGAAGAACAAATGGAGCCACCAGAAGAAGAACAATTTGATTCGATAAGCAGTTCAAGGGTATCTGAATGTGTTGAAGAGTTTGTGGGTGATGTACCTTTTGCCGGTTTGTTTAAAGGTTCTTCATTGAATTTGGCCTGCCCCGATCCCAGCCAGGAAACAGATCAAAAAAGTCAAGCCATTGAAGAGTTGCCAAGTGGTTTGAGGTCTCCCAGTTTGGTTAAGTCTGTTAAACCAATGCCCACAAAAAGATCATCTGCAAATCTACAAACTCCCACCGGCAATGAGGAAAAAACCATAGAAAATCTCATAACAACAAAGGAAATAAAAGACCCCAACACCACAAATGAAAATGAATTTGATTTTGATGCCTCAAAGGTATGGGATGAGATAAATACAATTTTTGAAAGTATTGGAAATGAAGTTTCCGCTGCCAATAATGAAACCAACAATACCTCGGCCAACAACAGCACCACCAACACAACAACAACATTAGAGGCTATAAAAGATGAATGTAATTATTTATCGAATACATTGCGTAAAAAGACTTTAACCATAAGAAAACCAGCTGATTTGCTATTAATATCACCCGAAGAACAAGATATCAATCCGAATTGGTGTCATTCGGCCAACACATTGATATATGGTTATGTTCTATATGATGTTTATGTAAGTAAAATTTCTTGTGATATTGAGTTATAAGAAAATCGTATAATTTTGATTTTTTTTTTCTAGTATTTGGGTTCTACAGTCATCCGAGAGTTACATGGTACGGTCTCGACTAGAAAATCCATACAGAAGTTAAAACGTGAAGAGACACCTGCTCCCATGGAGTACAAAGCCCAAGATGGCAGTATAATAGAGGATATTAACTGTTCAACGCGAATTCTAAAAGAAACAAACGAACAGACACGTTTGAAAGTTGGCATAGCCCTGTCACATGCCGGTGTTCGATTTATTGATACGGATAATAAGGTAAGGAAATGAATATTGAAATAAACATCAATAAGCAACGAGATATAGTAGGTTTTCACGACAGAGGGTCGAAAAACACGATCAGAACTACCAAAATACCGCAAAATTGGGGGTACCCTTATATGGGGGCTATCCGAAAATGTGGACCCATATTTATAATTTTTAGTGGAAAGATTTGCTACCTAATAAGAACTCAAAGTACCAAATTTCAGAGAATTCATTAGAAAAACGCGCTCAAGAACCTTAAAATACCGAAAATTGGGGTACCCTTATATGGGAGCTATGCCTAAACGTGGACCGATATAGCCCATCATAGAACTTGACCTGCCTGCAGACAAAATACGACTCTATGCTAAATTTTGGCGATCTATCTCAATTCGTTTAAACGCTAGAGTGATTACAACAGACAGGCGGACATACTTAAATCGTTATAGAATTCTACGCTGATCAAGAATATATATAATTTATAGTGTCGGAAATGATTATTTCGATGCGTTACAAGCGGAAAAACAAAACTAATATGCCCTCCATACTATGGTGGAGGGTATAAAAAGAAGAAATCAATTCAAGGTGGATAGATGGAAGTTTAGGATTTTACATGTCCGTGATTTGAAGGTTTCAGACGCATTTCTATCCAATGGGACTGAAATTTTACATTCCAATTTCTTAAATGACAAAGGACTTCCTCCCAAAAGTTGTTTAATATAGGCTAAATATAGTCCTAATATATAGGTTCCGCACTATTTTAGGTATTTTAATGATTCTAGCAACATTTTTCTACGGAAGAGACTGAGTTAGGTTTTCCTTCTCCAACGAAGGGAGTGTAATTTGAAATTCCGCGTTAGTGAAGGATAAGTAATTTCCTCACAAAAAATATTTAATATAGGTCCAGGTTTTGATATAACCTCCATATAATGTTCGTCCTATTTTAAGCATTAGCAGCATTTTATAAAAGATGAGCTTTAATTTCGAATTCTGAGTTTTTAGTGGGTGAAAATCAACTTTCAAATAGCCCCATGTAATTTTTAAAGGTTTTTAGCTGAATTTTAAAACAGAAGGTGCTTCCTCGCAGGAAGTTTTCGATATAGGTCCATGTTTTCACCATACCGTCCTTATTTAATCTTAATTTGAAATTCTTAGTGGGAAATAACTTTTTTTGTCTTTACTCCTCCTCCAACTAGTCCACATTCTATTTAGTATAGGAGGTATATAACCATATATCATGCGTAGACAAAGTCTAAAAAATCCTTAAAAAACGAGTTCAGCTATTTATTAACTCTAATATTAATAACATTCGTTTCTGTTATCTTCCTACAGAGTACCATAAGTGTCCACGATATCGAGAATATCAATTGTGTTAGCCAGGATACAGATGATTTAAGATATTTTGCTTATATAACAAGAGAAAAGGATACACACTATTGTCATGTCTTTATGGTTGATAGCTTGGTAAGTATTTTTACAATACAAAACACATATCAAATTTTTCTTAAATATTCTATTATTATTTTTTTTTTATTATTTAGGATTTGGCCACCGAAATCATACTAACACTGGGACAAGCTTTTGAGGTGGCCTATCAATTATCGCTTATCAATCAAGAAGAATCATGTGCCAATAATTTATCCGATGAATTAACAACTGTTGAGGAGGAAACTAAACGTATTAGTTATTGCGATATTGTGGATAATATTTAATTATTTTTTCCTTTCTTTCATAACTAGAATCTATGTTCAAACTTAATGTCATAAACGAAACAAAATCTAATCAAATACCTAAATCACAAATTAATTTTATATTGAGGCTTCTGTTAATGTCCCAATGGAGTTCCTTTTAACAAAGAAAACACGGTAGCTTCCGCTATACTATATGATGACAAACGACTCAGTACAAAAAAAGTCATTAAAACCAAAATCCCCTCAGAGGCCATTGATTGATAACAAATAAAAAAACATAACTCGTATTATTCTAAAAGAAACTTTGTTTTTTAATGTATTGTTCTAATGTATTTTCTATTTTATTTATTATTGTACCCCACAACACAAAAAAATATAATCAAAAATTTTATATATTAACCATAATTGCTATTCTTATGTGTATTATCATTGCAATATATTTAATTAATTACTAGTCTTGATGCCATTATATGTATGTAACGTATTATGTATTTTATATTTTGCATCCATTTTTTTGTATGTTGGAATTAATCCACAGTAACGAATAGTGCCTTTATTCAGCCAAATGTACCAAATAACAAATTATATATATTGTAATAAAAAAAAATTAAACAATTTTTTATTGACATTTTTTATTTAACCCTTGTGGGCCGATGAGCTTTGGGGAACGTTGTTTTTGTGAAAATTGTTCACGGATATTTTGTTCTAGACATAACAGTAAGAAAGGTATACTATGAGTATATTGACATGTACATAGGTAAATGGATAATACATTAAATTTCCTTTTACTTATTCACCCCTATTCTGTATGTCGTCGTCGACACGAAACGACGTCGAAGAGAGTCGTCTTTTGCAAATTGGTATTCCCTATGTCGTTGTCGACATTTATCGATAACTATTGAAACATTTTTGGTATTCCGTAACAATGTGTGACGACGACGATGTCGAAGATTTCTTCGTCATAGTTTTTGTTGACGACTAAAGCGTTTGAACATTTTTTTGTTTTATTTAAAAAAAACATGACCGGACAAGAACAGGATACATTATTCTAGAATCTATGCAATACTTAATGCAAAATAAAGTGTAAATAAAGAAAAATATATGGGATCTATATATAAATCTAAACCGATTTTGACCTATGTCAATAGGACTCGTCTATGTGGAAATAAAATTTCATCCCAATTGGATGGATTTTTTCCACATTTCATCCCGTTCGGATCATAATGGTGACATGTAACTTGTTTAAAATAATACATGAATGGAGGGATATGCATAAATCGACTGAAAAATAATTCTATGTATGTACATATATACTAAAAAGTAACTATGGGTCTATCTCGTTTCTTTTTGGTCACGTTTCCCAAGACATAATGGCCTGTGCCACAGTGCGGTGAAGGATACAAACACATTTTTGCCCAAAAATATGCAACAACATTTTTGTTTTTATTGAAATTATCGATAAATAGTCGACATCGTCGCATGAGGGTTACAGAATACCAAATCAGTGTCGAAGTGATGTCGATGTCGATGCGAAGTGATGTCGAAAGAGAAACGTCGTCGACAACGACGACGACATACGGAATAGGGGTGATTATTAATATTTACAATAAACGAAATAGCTTAACGCATGGCTTAACGATTAGAAACACCAAATCTGTGTTAAGCTTACCTCGTAATGTTCGCTCCATTAGACAGATACTATCGATTTTGTGCCATTAAGATAATGGATTTCGAGAACATCGTGGAAGCGTATTTAGCAAACGATCTAAATCAATCGATAACAAGTTTAAACCACGCCTTATAAAAATAACGACGATATAAAAGGAAGCCACACGATCAAGAAACTTATCGAGCAGGTCTGATTAGCACTCACACTCAAGCAGTTTCTGACGTGTTAAATTGGTCCTCGGAGCTCATCCATCGTTGATGAGTAGTATTGGCTCAATTGCGTTCAGTGGTGGCAGAATTGCGCCATCCTTTTTTACCTGCAAAGAGAAGAAAAGAGAGAGTGGAAGAGCAAGGAGAAAAGATAGCGAGAGAAGAAGAGCGGAGAAATGGTTACTTTAGCCATGTCAACTTTTTGACAAAGCCTAGAAGGCTAGATTATCAATTTCATATTCTCCAAACTGTTTATGTCTTCTGCCAATCAGCGATGGACATTTACAGAGGATATGTTCAATTATTTCTAGCTCTTCTTCGTCATTACATAGACGACAGTAATCCTCTCCGCTGGAGTCCCACTTCGAAGTGACAGATCTTATCTTGCAGTGACCTGTTATGATCCCCACAATGATTTTGATCTCTCTTTTATTGTATGCCAGCAGAGAAGACATTCTTTTGCGAGAGAATTCAGACCAGATAGATTTTGAGATTCTGCAACCAGGTTCTCTCAACCATCTGTTGCCAACTACCTCGCAGTAGCACAAGCGGATTTTGCCAATGAAATAGCCAATGGGAGGTTTTACAGATCTCTCAATCGAAAGATTGGACGACTGTGAGCACCCTCGGGCTCACCGGCTATCTCATCGGCTCGTCGGCTATCTCATTCCCTTCAATGTCACTATGACTTGCAATCATGAACAGCTTTTGACTGCCTGAATATCGACATATATAGGCACCGGTCCCGTAATGGCGGCAGTGATTTTACTATATCGGCCGTTTTCGTGATAGCAAGGATTTCTGCTTGAAACTCTACAAATATGAGTTATATGTTTCTAATTCCCTAAAGTAAACGCTTGCACCAGTGTCTTCCTCCATCTTTGACCCGTCTGTAAAGAATGACAGACCTGGCAGAGGTAACGAGCCTCTAGTCCAGGATTCCCTACTAGGAAACTGTACTTTGATGTCATTAAAGTCACTGTGAGAGGGATCATAGTCACTAATATGACTATTTCCCCTCAAGGGGTCACAACCTGGCGTTATGTTTAGGATACTAGCGTGACCATAGTTCAGCGATCTCCAGACATCCGTTTGCCGCCTGGAATTTAATCAGAATGTCCAGTGGATGGGGATTCAGGATTTCTTTCAAGGCTGCCTGTGACGTACTTCTTAACGCTCCGGTGATCAGAATTGAAGCCGATCGCTGTACTAAACTTATTTTTGTCAGCAACATCTTTTTGTTGACCCCCTGCCACCAAACAAGGCAACTATATGTAAGCATGGGGAAAACGATCGTCACATACATGCAGTGTATGATCTCGGGTTTTAATCCCCAGCTCTTACCAATAGAGATTTTGTATGATTAGAGTACCAGCAGTCCTTTCTTAGAGCGTTTCTCAACATTCCTATTCCAAGTTTGTTTGCGGTCGAGGATAGTGTCAAGGTATTTTGCTTCTTCAGAAATGGTTAGTGTCACTCCTCCCAGTGATGGCAGGCGGAAACTAGGAATCTTTCGTTTCCTAGTGAAGAGCAGAAATAAGTGTTTTGTTTTTATCGACATTTGTCGTTAACAGAAAAAAAGTGTTACAAAAATTGGCAATTTAAACCCACTGGGTTAACGAATTCCCGTACAATGTAAACGTACTATTATTCATATTAAAAATTTGGCTAATTGTTAACGTGGTATAAGACAAGTAATTCGAGGGTCGTGTGAACGTGGTATTAAGTTAATCATTTCAATTTTTGTTGTTATCGATAGTGCTGCCATTACCGCCAACTTAATCGGCATTTCTCTCCATACCTCCTCTTTCTCAACAATAGGATTTTTAACCGGTGTCCATCACACCTCATTCGTAAATTTAACATTTTTCACTTTGAGTTTCATCTTTATCGGCCATTTATTCTTCTCCCACTTTTTGTAGCCGGTGGAACGTTTTTAATTTTTTCACAGAGGCATCACACACATGCCAATTGTCCTACGAAAAAATAATCTAAATTGAACAGAATAAATCTATTAAAACTTGAAAGTGTCAGCTCGGTGTCAAGATGGAGACAAATAAAAACGAGGAGAAACTATTGGAGCACAATAAGGAAGATGCAGCCGAAGGTAAGTGAAATTAATTCTTTAGGTGTTCTGAACAGAAATGTGCAATAGATAAGATAAAAATAAGGATGGGCCTTAGATTATTTTCTTGTAAAATCCCTAAATCGAAATACGGAGATGTTAAGCTTGAGCATAACTCAAGATATTGTATTCGTAAAACCACAAATAATATCGAAGTGTTCCTTAGCAAATAAAAATAACCCCCTTAAAGTTTAAGTGTTTCCATATGAACCTAAAAAATGAACAATGATTTTAAGCGTGATAATTATGCATAAGCAAGGTATGAAGTTCGACTATATTAATAATGAAATCATATTCATTGTTCTTTTATTTTTCAGATCTGGCCAACGGCCATTCGGCGGAAGAGCCTGAAGTAAAAATTGCAAAGCTCCAGGAAAAAGTTGGACCACAAACCATTGATTTGTCGTTGAGCAACTGCTACACATCCGAAGAGTTTGCCAAGCAGTTACAAAAACAATGGTTCTCGGAACAAACAAAAGACTACAAAGACGATAAGACCGGCGTTGAGCTATACACGGACCCCTTTCAAATATGCCTGCTTCCTAATTTGTTAAAAGAAACCGACAGCTGCAAGCTATTGGTCGAGGAAATGGTGAAAAAAGTCCATTGGTCAAGAAAACAAATGGATCTGTATGAATTCTACCAGAGCACTGATTTGTCAAATATGATTGAGTGTAAATTCCTGGCCAACTTTTTACAAATGCTTCGCAGATCCGTGAGACCTTGGTTGGAAAAGTTAACCAATTTAAAGCTGGACTATGTGTCAGCATCATGTTCCATGTACACCTGCGGTGATTATCTTTTGGTACACGACGATTTGTTGAAGGATCGTCAAATTGCCTTCATTTACTACCTCTCCCCTTGGGAGGAGAATGAACAATGGAAAGAGGACCAAGGAGGTTGTTTGGAGATATTTGCCAGTGATGAGAAATGCCTGCCTAGTTTTCCTGTTAAAAGAAAAATTGCACCGAAAAATAATCAATTTGCCTTTTTCAAAGTTGGTTCAAAATCATTTCATCAGGTTGGTGAAGTCACAACGTTCGATTATCCTCGCTTGACCATAAATGGCTGGTTCCATGGAGCCTCGAATGAAGATCTAATTGCCGATGCCTTACGGCCCTTTGCAAAATTACAATTCAAACCTCCCATATCTGTTAATCCCCCATCATCCGTAGACCTCTTGTTGAATGAGGTCTACTTAAAACCCACAACAAAACGCAGTATTCAAAAGAGAATAGAAGACAATTCGGAAATTTGCCTATATGAATTTTTCCGCAGGGAAATATTTGAAGCGGCCTTAAAGGAATTACTTAACGACGAAACACTGAAATGGTCACGCCAAGGACCAGCTAATGCACAAAATTTTGAAGTACTCGATTTGAAGACTGCGACCAAAACGCTTACACAAATAATCGATTTATTTTCAAATACTGAAATGTTTAGCCTACTAAGAGACTATACAGACTTGGATTTGTCGGGACCGAATGCCAAAAATCCTCAATTTACTTTAGAAATCCAAAGATGGTCGCATGGTGACTATACCGTTTTGGGAGATGGTGCTATATGTGAAGACAATACCCTAGATTTAATATATTATCTTAATGCCTCGGAGGGTGCAGCAATAATTACATATCTGTCCCCAGACACTGAACAACCAGGCGGAGGACAAAAACAGACTGGTGATGATGAAAGTGATACCGATTCATTGGAAGGGGAAGGTTTCGATGACGATGATGAATCGGTTTTACTAACCATAACACCGGTAGATAATGCTCTCAACATCGTCTATCGTTGTGAGGGTACAACGAAATTTACAAAATATGTATCGCGTAATACACCATTGGACAGGGGACCAGTTTTTGTTATTTCCTGCAGTTATAAGGAATAAAGAAAAAAGTGTATGGTTGAATTGGAGGACAATTTATATATTGCTGATGTTAATCTTCTCAGAGAGAAGTGCCCGATTTATATATATGTTTTATTTCTTTTCTAATGAATGACTGAAGTCATTTAGAGTTTTTCCTGATTTCATTTTTTGTCAATGGAACGAAATTTATTAGCTGTTCTATTTTTTATAGTAAGCATACTATATATACAAATTTGTTGAAATACAAATGTTTAGCGCATATATATTGTATAAAGAGAACCAATAATATGTTTTTTGAATAAAGATGATTTGAAAAGAAATCTGAGTTGTTTTTTTATTTGTAATTGTTTTAAAATGAATATTGGGAAATTCATGATTGCCGATATGAATTTACTAACCATAGTGTCCGAAGTAAATTAGGCGCGTTAAACAAATCAATTATAAATGAAAGCTTATATTTCGGGAATTTAATATTAGTTGAATATTTTATACAAATAATCATTGTTAACTTATCCGTGTTACATAAATTTTACTTATATGTTAATGTTTTAAATTTTCAGATAAATTTCGCTTATATGCAACCATTGCATTTATGACAGTGGTTATTATAATTGGTGTACCTATGTGGTGGAAAACTACTGAAGTCTATAGGTAAGTAGAACCAGCAAGGAAAGTTGTAAAGGTGGATTGGGCCGACTATATGATACCCTTCACCACTTTGGGTATATTGCGCATATGTATTCTTACATTTGAATGTTCCCTCGAAGGAACATACGCATGTCTTCCTGCAACCTGTGAAAAATTTAATTTCATTCGAGCAGATTTAGAGTCGTCTGCATACCATGGGACAACTTAATGGAAAACGTTTTATAGCAAAATTGATACACGGTATTCAGTACGCCGCACTGTTAACAATTTAATTTAAATCAGACACCCGTTCGAAATACATATGGAAGCTATGGCTGCATCTGCACCAATTTCAACAATACGCAATAACGTCATTCAAGTCTCAATTTGATACATTGTTCAAAATTTCGTGTTAATCGGACAAACATTAGGAGTTTGGAGAGCCATTTATGTAAAATCGGACGAATATATATGAGTATGTGAGAGCTATATAGAAATCTGAACCGATCCTAAACTTGCCACACATCATTTTAAACACAGTTAAGTACGCTATGACAAATTTCGTGAAAATCGAAAGATATATAGGGACTTTGGTGCACCATTTACATAATATCGGACGAAAATATATATGGGAGCTATATCTAAATCTGAACCGATTTTCACGAAATTCAACACACGTCTTTCTAGACATAATTCAGTACGTTATGCCAAATTTCGTGCAAGTCGAAAGATATATGTGGACTTTGGTGCACCATTTACATGAAATCGGACGAAAATATATTTGGGATCTATATCTAAATCTGGACCGATTTTCACGAAACTTAGCAGACATCACTCTAGACACAATTCAGTACGTTATGCCGAATTTGGTGCAAATGGAAAGATATATAGGGACTTTGGTGCACCATTTACATGAAATCGGACGAAAATATATATGGGAGCTATATCGAAATCTGAATCGATTTTTGCGAAATTTAACACACATATTTCTAGACTTAATACAGTAGGCTGTGCCAAATTTCGTACAAATCGAAGGATATATAGGGACTTTGGTGCACCATTTACCTAAAATCGGACGAAAATATATATGAGAGCTATATCTAAATCTGAACCGATTTTCACGAAATTTAACACACATCATTCTAGACTCAATTCAGTACACTATGCCAAATTTCGTGCAAATCGAAAGATATATTGGGACTTTGGTGCACCATTTACCTTAAATCGGACGAAAATATATGTAGGAGCTATATCTAAATCTGAACCGATTTTCAGGAAACTTAGCACACATCATTCTGGACCTAATTCAGTACTCTATGTCAAATGTCGTGCAAATCGAAAGATACTTAGGGACTTTGGTGCACCATTTACCTTAAATCGGACGAAAATATATATGGGAGCTATATCTAAATCTGAACCGATTTTCACGAAACTTAGTACACATCATACTAGGCTTAATTCGGTACGCTGTGCCAAATTTCGTGCAAATCGAATAATATTTAGGGACTTTTGTGCACCATTTACATAAAATCGGACGAAAATATATATAGGAGGTATATCTAAATCTGAACCGATTTTCAGGAAACTTAGCACACCTCATTCTGAACCTAATTCAGTACTCTATGCAAAATTGGACTTTGGCTACATCTAAATCTGAACCGATTTTCACCAATTTCAATAGGGTTCGTCTTTGGGCCAAATAAGTGACTTGTGCCAAATTTCATCCAAATCGGATCATAAATGCGACCTGTACTATGTTTACAATTTATCATCTTCAGACGGACGGACATGCATAACTCGACTCAGAAAGTGATTCTATGCATATTCTCAAAAGGAACCATGTGTCTATCTCGTTTCCTTTTGCCTGTTACAAACATATGCACAAAGACATAATACCCTGAACCACAGTGTGGGGGATGGTATAAAAATGTCCGCTCCGATGTACATTTTCTTCCGATTTTATGTCAATGATGCACTAAAGACTGTACGAAATGTTGGACATTCACATTCATTGTAGATGTGTGTTGGAATTATTTCATATATTAAATCCCTGCCTTAGTGTGGTCTTTTTTCACTGCTTAATTTTTTTCTTTGTTTTAGAGTTGGACTCCCCTCATCCGATATAATGGAGTTAAGTGATAAACCGCTCAAAATTAAAATCAAAATTGGTATTTTCAATGTAAAGAATGAAAGAGCGACACTGCTGATAAATGAACTGAAGGAGGAATATGGTAAAAGTGGTAGGTTTTTTTTTTGGTCGAAATTTTATAACATTAATATTTTGCATTAAAATATATTTTTGATTTTCTTCACAGACATATGGTCTTTGGAGTTTGTACACAAAAACAACTTTGAGAAAGCCAATACAGCGAAGACACCTGCTGCCTTGGAAGCTTTGATACTAAAAGAGGTTAAATTGCGCGAAGGTGATTTTGCTTTTATTGAATGGCCAAAACTGCAAGAGGAAGTATTGATTACCAATGAGAGGACAGCATTAATACGCAGTGATGCCAGTGAGTCTTATCGCTAGGTACAATAATTACATGATTAACAGTACATTTTTTTGCGTACACAGGTTCCAAAAAATTAATGCAGGTATTGAATACCTATATTCTACAAACCCACCGAGTAAAACAAATATTGGCTAAAGAACAAGTGGATTCGTTGAAATCAGAAGCACCTCAGGCGGAATATGATGTAACAGTTTCGGTATTGAATCCACGGCCAGATATAATGGATGCCAAGTGGCATGTGCAAATGGCAGTAGAAAGTAAAGTTTCCCACTATTTTAAATGGCTAATGTTATTAATTTAATAAATTTTATTTTGCAGCCTACTTGAAACCCTATTTGGATCAAGTTTCTCACATATCCAATTATACCCTGACCACACAATGGAAATATCAACTGCCGTTCGAAGCTGATTTAAGACAAGTTCGTGATAACACCATATTGAATCGCCATTATGCCTTGTCTGAGTCATCATTGCCACACATTATTACAGCCATTGAAAAGAATTTGGGTTCAGGAATTACCGATAAAACTCCTTTGAATTTGGTGGTTTATATTACACCATGTGACATTGCTCCTGTTTATATTTATAATATGAAAAATCAAAGAGTTTCTAAAGATAATATAAACGGATTTATATCACCCAAATGGGGTGGCATAATTATTGCCAATCCTTCCGTTGAAATATGTCGTGCATATAATGATAATCCTGCACAAAAAGTGGAATTTTTTGTTCAAACCAATGATGTTATGCAAATAATGTTACATCAATTACAAAAGTTGTTGGATATTAGCGTGGAGGTAAGGCCTTGAAGTTTTAGGCATACGCTTTTCAATAATAAATTTTGTTTTCATTACAGGTAACCACAGAAGGTGTTAAAACTGTTGCTGTTGAACAGCTAGCACCCCGCCTATGGGAATATGAATCGTATTTAAGACGCAGTGCCATAACCCATATTACAACCACCACCAACACCTTGCAAAGTTTAATCAAATTATTGGGTAATTAAAAACCAAACAAAACTAAAGAATACCCATCGAAATTTGTTTAATCATGTTCATTGTTTTTTTTCTCCATTCTCCTAGATAACATCAGCTATATTGTAATTAATGATGATGTTGGTAAAGCCATTAACTCTGCCTATGAATTGATAATCAAATCGAAAGAAGCATTGGCCAATCATGAATTAATGAAAGCCTCGGAATTAGCTCAAAAGGCATTTATTGCTTCGGAACAGGCATTCTTTGATGCCAGTCTTTTGGCTCAGTTGTATTTCCCGGATGAACAAAAATATGCCATTTATATCCCATTGTTTTTACCCATAATGGTACCAGTGGTAACTTCATTTAGCATGATGATAAAGCTGTTGAAGAAGCAACGAGAAACCAAAGCTAAATTGAAAACAACATAATTTTTATATATGGATTCCCCTAAGTATTCTTTTAAAAATTCCAGCCTATTTTAGTTGTGGTATTAGTTTGTTTTTAGTTGTAAAATATTTAAACCTTTTTTGTAATAAATAAAATCGTAAATTTGGCTAAAATTTAATAGAAACAAGTGAAAAATGCGTTATGTTTGGTCGGATCGAACATTTTTACATTTATACCAGGTATAGGTATACCGACTTGAATTTAGGTTTTTAAACCCGATGTAATTAAATCGGTCGTGATGTTTATATAGGGAATATGACAAATAGGTTGTCGTCAATGGGTTACAAGGATATCTTGCAACGTAGTGGCCATCAGAAATACTGTGTTTCAACTATGGTAGGGGAATTATATTCCACGAAGTCTTCTGTGAATTTTTTTGCTCGCTTCTGTATATATTTTCTGAACCGAATCCACCACGGATCTACTTCTGTGTGATGCACTATTAGCACTATAAGTTTCATAACCTATGAATGTTGTACTGGGAATACTCGTACAACACCCGAAAAACCAGTAAACTTAGCCTCGAAGTCAACAGGTTAAGTATGATCGTGCCGACGATGTACTATTTTAGAGGCTGAAATGCCAATTTAAATTACATTTAAAATACCGAAAATGGGTGGGAGCCATTATATGGGGTTTTTGTCAAAACATTGACGGTTGCTCCATCCTGATTTTAGTTGAGCTAAGACTACTCGTGTTTGCCTTGGCAGCTGCTTCTCCTCTGCTGCGATGGATGAGGAGACCACAATTATGGTATTCACGTGATATTGATCTACTGCCTGAGCGACTGCGTCCGTGTGAATACCATTCAGACCTGCTTGATAGACTTCTCTCTAGATCATAAAGATCTTTCCTGACGTGCCTGGGCGGGGGAGTCCTGTCTATAAGACTATGGCAGGGATTTTCCCGACGATAGCACCCAAGTTAGTAGTGCATCGACAACATATAATTGTGACGATGGATGGGTAAGATCTTCGTCTACTCATGAAGATGATCCACAGCAGTCATGAGGAGACACACTGTTGCAGTTCTCAGGGCAGCATTCTGGCAGGTCTGGATATTCTTCCACTGCGTATCACTAACATTCGCGAACCACACTGGCGCCGCATAGCTTACTACTGACCGACCTATTGCTTTATAAGAGGTCAACAATGTTTCTTTGTCAGCGTCCCAAGTGCTGCCGGCTAGCGACTTGAGGACCTTGTTCCTACTTCTCAGCTTATCGCATAAAGCAGTGGCTTGCGCAGACGACTTGAAAAGGCTGTCGAACGTTACTCCCAGTATCTTGGGGTAGTTGGTGGTCGGAATCAATTCTCCATCGACCATTATGTTCTGTAGTAGCTTCATTTCAGTCGTCAGCTTCATTTCAGGTGAACAGTGTGGCTGTTGATTTGGTGGCGGATATTTTCATATTCCTCAGATGGAAGAAATTAACAAGACCGGCTATGTAGGATTTTAGCCTCTCACATATATGATCAATAATGGGACCCAACGCCATGATCGTACAATCATCCGCATACATTACGATCTCTAGTTGTGGAATATCAGAAAGGTAGAGGTTGAACAGTTCCCGATATATCACCCCTCCTTGGGGTGATATCTCCCTCTTTCACTCTACGGGGTTTAGACTTCCTTTTTCTGAATTCCACATACGACTGGCGTCCACACTTATAGTTGATTATCCAACGTTTCAAACACGGTCGGAGATTTGTCCTCTCTATATCTTCGAAAAGCTTGGCATGGTTGACGGTATCGAAGGCATTCGATAGGTCAAGTGCCACCATAACTGTTCGGTTGCACGGCCTGTTCTGTTTGAGTCCTCTGCTAATATGTGTGGAAATGGCGTGTAATGCTGTTGTTGTGCTGTGCATCTTACGGAATCCAAGTTGGTGTTGGGCAACTTGGAAACTGCTTCACAACGATGGGAGGAGTAGCGCCTCAAGTGTCTTCGCTACGGGACCTCCTGCCTAATTTTCAGTCTTCAGGAACTATGTGGGTGGTTAACGACAAGTTGAGGGCTGATGTTATGTACTCAACTCCGGGTTTATCCAGCTGCTTAAGCATTACCATGGAAATTTCTCCCGGGCCCAATGCTTTGGATGACTTAGCGTTATTAATGACATCTGCAAAATCTTCCTTCGTAAATTGTAGTGGTTCCTCTTCAGATCGGAGTACCCTTATGAGACGTAGCACACTCCTTTTCGCCTTGTCACTCTCAGGGAGCTCTATGAATTGCCGATTAAAATAACTCGCGCACCTCTTCGGGTCTGTCACAGTTACGTCGTTAAATGTAATAACCGTCCTGTCATCCTTCCTTCCAGGATTCGAGATTGACTTAACCGTTGCCCACAATTTACTTGTTCCGGTGGCAATGGTGCATAGCTTCAGGTGGTCTAGCCACTTTTTCCTTTTGTGCTCGCATACTAATCTGTTGACTTCAAGGGTAAACTCTCGCACCCTTAGGTCATCAGGAGTAGTACGACGGAGCTCATCACGCCCATTAGCCAATACTGTTGCTTCTGCTGGGAAGTTAGGTCTTACTTCGGGTATTCGACCAGCAGGTATAAAGCGAGCGGTAGCAGTAGCGATGATTTTCCGAAAATTCCTCTCAGCTACCCGTGGATATGAGGGAATCGGCAGCTCTCTGAAGCGGTGTTTGGTAAACTCTCTGAAGCCAGGTCAATCAGTTTTCCCATGGTTCAGGAATGTACGGCTTTCAGAGGTTATGAAGTCTGGTGGTCTGTTGACGGAGACGATGATCGGAAGGTGGTCTGAGCCGAGTGAAATGACGGGTTGCCAGGTTACGTCATTTATCAGACCCGGTGCCACAATGATGATGTCTGACGAGCTGTGGCAATCTCCTCTTATGGGGGCATCCTCATTAACCGTGCAAAATGTTGAGCTATCAATTTGCTCAGCCAGCGCTGTACCCCGCTGGTCATTACCTAGGAAGGAATGCCACAACTCATGGTGGGCATTGAAATCTCCTAGTACCAGGCGGTTATTACCTTCTAAAAGCGGACTGATATCCGGTAAGTAACGCTGTGCACAGTTATTCATCGTCGGTATATAAAAATTGAGCACCTCTACCTCGGCAGTTACACACTTGACTGCTACCCCCATACATTCCATGTATGGGTCACTAGAGTCTAGCTCAAGCGAGATAGGTCTGTACTGGACATAATGGTGTAATAAGAATGCAAGTCCCCCACCTCCGCTTCTGCTACGGTCCTTCCGCACAACGTTGTTTTTGATTTTGTTGCGAAGACAATCGCCCGGAACAGCAATATGTGGTGTTAAATGCTGCGCATTTTGCTTTTGAGGGGATGTCTTGTACTCCGACGATGACGATTCAGATGATGAATCGGACGACGACTCCTGAGACACACTGGGAGACGTGCTAGCGCAGCTTGAAGCGACGTAACTCCTTTCGCAGTACTCCTGGATCCTGTTCAGTCCAGAGCAACCTCGAAAATGCACCCACTCCACATCCATTGCATCTCACCGATATTGATCTATGGTGGATGCGGTTTCTGCAAACACTGCAGAACCAAGGTTCGGGGTTAATTTCGGAAGGTTCGGAGCAGGCATTCCGGGATATAATGCCGCTCCCAAGATAAAAATGACGTACACGTACATGTAATTGTTGAGGTGGCAGCCTCTGGTCGGAGTCCATCTCCGAGTCCATCCGGTACATAGAACCAGCCGCCGTGGGATTGATGCCTATTCTGGTATAAGTTGTTGAAAATATGGGGTTTAAAAATCTACACCTATTGTGGTATAAATTGTTGAAAATATCGTTATAAAATGTCTTGGAAAGTTCGACGCTTCTATCTAATTCTAATTGGTGTTCCCATACTCATACAAACAGCACATCTCTATTTTACCAAATAAGACCAACGCTTCCTCCAATGATAAAATTATTATAACTTTATTTTTTGAAAGACGCTATAAATTAATTTAATTACTATTCTTCTTCTTCTTTATTGTGGTAATTAGACAACCTCCCACAATTAACGATTTCTCTAAATTAACATTTAGAAACAAATAAAAAAATCCACAAATTTTAACAGATGCGATGTGGTGGTTCTTTATGATTGAAGACGAACGAATTAACTCTGTATTTTTTTCAACTTCTCATCTTCTGCTGCCGACAACAATTATTTCACTAAAATTATTACTGATGTCAAGGTCGGATTTGTACAATAATAACAAAAATAACACAACAGGCAAAAATAATGTTTGGATAAGCCACCAAAGCTGTGATTATAAATATTAACGCCAGCCAGTCCGTCCGCTTGTCAATAAGAAAAAAAATGAAGATGATATTTAAATTTTTTCCAACAACGCCAATACCAGCTATGAATGAATGAATGCTTTGCATTTGGAAATAACTTTTGAATGAATCTTCTTCGATGAGGTGAAAAAATGCGCAATTGAGCGTGGGAAAATATTCGCATAGGTCAGGTTCACTTGATGTTTTCAACCGGAATATTTAGCATTTGACAAGTGGCTATTTGCATGTCATGAACATTGTTTTTTTTTTCAATTTGATTAATTGTTAACGAAGATTTTCAAATCGATTTATTTTTTATTCCATTGCTGCCCTTTTGGATTTTAGATTGAAAAAAATATTATAGCAATTAAATTTAATTTTTATTTAAAATATAAGAAAAACGACGACAACAATATGAAAAAAATATTCCTTTAAATATAAACCACTGGCAAAGAGCTTCAATGTAATACCATAATTTAGCATTGCGGTTAATGAAGCCATTGTTAAACAATTCCGAATAACCAAAAAAATTTGCTTAAAAATTTGTTACGGGTCATTAAATAAATGTTAAAGTACTTAAATTTTATTGGTTTTTTTCTTATTCGAATATAAAAATGTTTTTTTATGAAAAAAAAATATATTATGAAAATTATAGTTTAACAGGCAAACGGTGGTTAGTCGGAAGCATGCATTGTAGACGATATA